TATGGATGTGCTCCTGTAAAAAGCGTCATAAACGCTTGTTGTAATTCAGTGGTTTATGTTATTCCAGAAATCAGATATCCGAGGAAGTTATGATGCTTGGTTTCGAGGGAAATAATAAGGAATCGGTTATACTTAATACAATAATCATTACTATAAAGCTAGTTGTCTGGAAGAGCAGGAATGACTTGAAATACAAAAACATTGATTATTCAATAGTAAAAACTAGTAATAAGTTTACACTTCTTAAGTAGATAATATGTGGTCATATTCTAATTCGAAGAAAGAAAAAAAAATGTCAATTGACGTTATTCAAAATATCATTACACAATTAACACTATCAAATTACACATGACGATGATACATGATGTAGTGAGATGATACATGATGAAGTGATATGAGATATGATGTAGTGTAATGTTACATGATGTACTGAGATGATACATAATATAGTAAGATGATACGTGATGTAGTGTAATGATACAAGATGTAATGTGATGATACATTATGTAGTGTGATGATACATGATGTAGTGTGATAATACTTGATGCATTAAGATTATAGGTGATGGAGTAGGGTGAACCATGATGTAGTGATGATACATGGCAGTGATACAGGACGTAGCAGTGATACAGGACGTAGCAGTGATACATGACGTAGCAGTGATACATGACGTAGGAGTGATACATGAAGTAGTAGGATGATACATGATGAAGTAAGATGACACAATATGCAGTGTGATGATACGTGATGTAGTGATGATACTTAATGTAGTAAAATGATACATGATGTAGTGTGATGATCCAAGATGTAGTTTGATGATAATGGTGATGATACGTGATGTACATAAAGTAGTAGGATGATACGTGATGTAGTGTGATGAAACAAGTGATAATGCATGATGTATTTTGATTATACATGATTTAGTGTGATGATACATGATGTAGTGAGATGATACAAAGATGATACATGATGTAGTCAGATGATACCTGATGTAGTAAGATGATAATGCTATAGTGTGATGATATATGATGTTGAGAGATGACATGATATAGTGTGATGATACATGATGTGTGAGATGAAACAGGATGTAATAATGATACAGGATGTAGTGAGATGATACATAATGTAGTGATATGATACAAGGAAGATACATGATGTAGAAAGATGATACCTGATGTAGTGTGATGATCCAAGATGTAGTGTGATGATAAAGGCGATGATACGTGATGTACATAATGTAGTAAGATGATACGAGATGAAGTGTGATGTAACAAGTGATGATGCATGATGTATTTTGGTTATACATGATTTAGTGAGATGATATATGATGTAATGAAATGAGACATGATGTAGTGAATTGATACATGATGTAATGAGATGATAAAAAGATGTAATGTGATGATACATGATGTAATGATGATAAATGATATAGTGATGCAATGTAATGTAGTGAGATGATACGTGATGTAGTGTGGTGTTACATGATGTAATGTAATGATACATGCTGTAGTGTGGTAATATTTGATGCAGTAAGATTTTACGTAATGGAGTAGGGTGATACGTGATGTAGTGATGATACATGACGTAGCAGTGATGCATAACGTCGGGGCAAAGTAGTAAGATGTTGCGTGATATAGAAAGATGACAAAAGATGTAGTGTGATGATAAAAGTGATGATACGTGATGTAGTAAGATGATACGTGATTTAAGGTGATGATACAAGTGATGATGCATGTTGTATTTTGATGATACATGCTTTAGTGAGATGATACATGATGTAATTATGATACATGATGTAATGATGATACATGATGTAGTGATGAAACATAATGTAATGAGATGATACAAGGATGATACATGATGTAGTAAGATGATACCTGATGTAGTGAGATGATAATGATATAGTGTATTGATATATGATGTTGTGAGATGATACATGATATGGTGTTATGATACATGATGTTGTGAGACGATACATGATGTAGTAAGATGATACCTGATGTAGTCAAATGATACATGATGTAGAAAGATGAAACATGATGTAATGTGATGATACATGATATAATGTGATGATACATGATGTAATGTTATGATACATGATGTAGTGGAATGATACATGATGTAGTAAGATGAAACATGATGTAATGTGATGATATATGATGTAATGATGATAAATGATATAGTGATGCAATGTAATGTAGTGACGTGATACGTGATGTAGTGTGGTGATACATGATGTAGTGTAATGATACATGATGTAGTCTGATAATACTTGATGCAGTAAGATTTTACGTGATGGAGTAGGGTGATACGTGATGTAATGATGATATATGACGTAGCAGTGATACATGACGTAGAGGCGATACATGATGTAGAAAGATGATACATGATGTAATGTGATGATACATGATGTAGTAAGATGATACATGATTTAGTGAGATGTTACATGATGTAGTGAAATGATACATGATGTAGTGCAATGTTACATGATGTAATGTGATGATACATGATATAGTGTGCTGATAAAGGTGATGATACGTGATGTAGTAAGATGATACGTGATTTAAGGTGATGATACAAGTGATGATGCATGATGTATTTTGATGATACATGCTTTAGTGAGATGATATATGATGTAATTATGATACATGATATAGTGTAATGTTACATGATGTACTGAGATGATACATGATGTAGTAAGATGATACAAGGATGATACATGATGTAGTAAGATGAAACCTGATGTAGTGAGATCATGCATGATGTAGTAAGATAACACATGATGTATTGTAATGATACATGATGTAGTAAGATGATACGTGATGGAGTGGGATGATACATCATGTAGTAAAATGATACATGATGCAGTGCTGAAATATGATACGTATGGTAATGTGATGATACATGTAATGATACATGAAGTAGTGTGACAAAACAGGATGTAGTTAGATGATACCTGATGGAGTAATAAAACATTAAAAAACATCAATGAAAATCATCAAAATCGTAACGATGACGTTACCGCCGCCGGAAAAGTAACGCCTACGTCTCGCCTTTGCGACATCCGTAGCAGTCGAGAAAGTATACCTCATGTACTACAACTTCCAGTGCGAAACAGGTTTTACCATTTATATATATTTTCACGTGTCACAGAGTAAACGTCAAAAGTATGCCCTGAACACTAATCATATATCGGAGGTCACAATTTAACAAGCAAACAATCATAATACAGGCAGCCATTGCATTGTAATATCACTAGCTCATTTCAATTACAACTGAAATATATAACATAACATATTAACTATCAGTCATAGTGAGAAAAAGTAAGATGACGTCACATGGGGAATGTATACGTTAACTGGTGATTATTCACAAAATATACGATAGAGCATGCTTCTTTTATGTACATGATAATATGAATCCCAGATTCGTTCCCATTTAATGAAGTTCGCAGAAGCTTGTTTTATTCTTAACGTGATTTATAATTGGTATCAATTAGATGCTCAACGCTTTTGTCCATGTTAGCGTGCGGCTATCATACGATTACGTCAACCAGCTGACAACACTACGACTACGACGTAAGGAAAATAGACTATACCTGATAAAGTGTGTTTCAAAATTGTAGCAATGAAGTGAATTGTAATTTGACATACATGTATATCACTGACTAATACTACGTTATCGTAGTGATCAATACTATCCTAGCACAGCACAACTAATACTGACATACTGTACCTTGATGATTTACGTCTAATAGTAACACATAGTATCTCACTTGTGACATCGTATTGTTACATGTAAAATATTTGAACTTGAAAATTAAGTATTGAAAGTTGTAACAAATATATAGCAACAATACGTTAACAAATAGGAACGAATATCACATTGTATCGACCTAAATAATGTCGAGATGTTTGTTGAACTAATCAAATTATGCACCTCTGATCATTTATTTTGATTTATGAAGGCGAAAGTGAACATCTAGGAACAGTATACGGCTTCTGTAGAGCAGACACAATAATATTGAGATCAGTTCAACGAGTAAATAGGTAAATCCAACAAGTATATTCATAAATTCATATTAAACTCGCGATTTTATTTTACAGAAAAAGGGTAATGAAAGGACATAAATGTTGTAGGCTTTGTCTAGTTCATCGTGTGGCGGGATTGTTAGCATACTGAAAGATTACCATGTATGTCCTCAAATGGTCTTACTTTTAAACGCAACAATGAAAAGAGACACGGTTTCTGTTCTGAAATCGCAAATTCAATTATCCCTGTTGATCAATATATGAATCGGCATTGATCTGATGTGCTCAATTTACATATTGTGAATGGAAAGTCTGCAGGTGTTTACTTATTCTGTGGGAGCGGGAGAGGGTTAAATAAAACCTTTTGTTTCATTACTCTATTTGCCCGGTTGTCATTTCTAATATTGCGCCATATAACGGTATAATAACGGTAGTAATACATATAAACTGTTATACAATAAATCAAACAAAAACATTAAACAACGAGTTAAAATTACAGGTTTATATGTATTCACTTGTACCTGCCCCACTAACTTGGTTTGGTCATTGCTGGCCTGTTTTTCATTCTTTTCTTTGACATTGTCGGCACTTGACTTTGGTTGTTGAGATGGGTCGTGTGCAGCTCCGTCAGGTTTGATACATGTACCACCATTGCGTGGTATGTGTTTGTTAAATTCACGTTTGATTTTGAGAACTTTAAAAAGATCACGGGGTCTGCCTTAGCACTATATAAGTCAACATTACGACCTGTGTATAAGAAAGCTACCATCATTTTAGCATTATAGTTTTATGTGTTTTGGTTTACACTATACACATATATAGAAATAAAAAAAACACACATATACACATGTACCATCTATTGCAAAATTGTGTATATATATACGTAACTGGGTTTTAAATAGCAGTGTACACCTTCAATCTGAACTGCGCATGTCATAAGCCCGACAATCTGATAACGATAAACGATTTTCTATTTATACCGAATAGAGTCAGTGTGTAAACAGATCAATTACGTCTGGCACTTGTAAAATCAACGCTTGATATTATTTGTGCACAGAACAAGGTAAGTAAATGACAAATCTTCATACATATGTCACTACAAATAATAGTAATTGTAATGTCATAACGTGTAGTATGTAATCATGTTATTTGACTACGGTAAACGTATGGCACAGGTGTTTTGGCTCTCGGATTAAACTGATTACCTCAGCTGTATGGTGTCTCACAATCTACACAGGAAGAAATAGGTTGAATTGTAAAGACAAATAATTGAATTCTACTGCATACTGTTTTTTTTACAGTAACAAAAAGCATCTATCGGTTTTTGGAAAGCCACCTGCGAGGTCATACAGTGAAACTATAAGCACACACCGAAGGTGCACACGGAAGGGGCTGGTATCTACGGTTCTTCCGGTATAGCTACAATTACAGTTTCGGTTCATGTCTTCGTTAGCGCCTCTTAAATTTAGCAGACGACCCATTTTATGCTAATTACCTATATATTTATAGTGAACAATGATTTCAATACGTTTTTTTTAAATGCAACGCGCTATAGGTATGTATACCCGGTGCTTTCATTATCATTATATACCATAATTGCATCAGTGTCACTAATGATAATCTATGTTTACAGTCTTCCCTGACATTCACACAATAGCCATTGATTGCTTTAATTGGAGATAACATCTCGTAGCCATTGATCTAGACATGTTCACTTGACGGTAACAGCAAAGCCGTTTGTGACGTCATCAACAGTGGGTTATATATATATATATAATTAAAACTCAGTCAACCTCGAATTACGCAAAATATAGGCTGTTACGTCAATCGATCCTATCGCGTGTTGTTATTTTGTATTCGCTGATCAAGGTGAAAATAGGCTTTGCACCACCGACAGAAAATACTTTTAATATAAGAAGTCATTTTTACAATTTACACGTGCTTAACTGGAGCTATCACCTCATTACTGAACAATACAGATTTCCTTTTTAAAAGTGGGTTTAGAGATAATAACCTACGAAAATCTCTGAATATCGCGCCGAGAGCGTAGTGTAATTGGCTATTACATTATGCAAGATCTATGACAAGTTTAAATGTAACATTATACTGGGTAGAACGATCGTGGTAGCGTTTTGAATAACACAATAGTATTTAGTAACGACTGTCTTCATAAGTCGTTACCTTAGTGTGAACACTTGAGAGTGTCACAGTATATTTTTTTTAAATAAGGTGGTGAATGTAGAAAAACAGATGTAGTTTCATTCTCTGTGTGAATAAGATTACAATAATTGTTTTTTTCTCTTTCATAGGTTTGATGCAAAATGGACAAAGATGAGAAAATAATGGAAGGATGGCTAATATAAAAACAGAATTAAGGAAAAGATAAAGCATGGCATCGCCACCCAATGATAGTGACATAATCTGTCCTCTATGTAACGGTGCGTATAAAAACCCTAAATTGCTGCCATGCTTACATACATATTGCCAGGACTGTCTTGTCAATCAGTTGAAAACTTCGAACAATCTAGGAAACATCACATGTCACACCTGCAAAGAAACCCTTCAGCTTCAAGAGGAATCAATCTCAAATTTAAAATCGAACACAAAGATTTCGGCTTTGATAAGATTACATAAATTGAAGGCAAGTCGACACACGTGTGTAGTGTGCACTTACAGACAAAAGGAGGAGGACGCTACCATGTATTGCCTGGATTGTGGAGATATGATGTGTAAAGTTTGCTCAGGGCACCATACATTCACAAGACTGACCATCAGTCATCGGGTTGTGGAGTTAACAGACATCACCTGTGGAACGCATGACAATTTCCTTTATGATAAATTATCAAGATTGTGCAATACTCACCCCGACATGGTCATAGAATTCTATTGTAAGTCGTGCACAGTCTGTCTCTGCGAGGACTGCTTACCAGAACACCAAAAACATGATCTGATACGTCAAGATAAAACAGACAGTAAAGGCATAATCAAGAAAGTGCAGGCGCTGTATGATGACTTAAAACTACGACAATGTCAAGCACTGGAGCTACAATCTTCAATGGAAACGCATATTCGGGAGATACACAGAAAAGAACTAGCTATACCTCAAGCTATTACAAATTTCTGTAACGACATCGGAGATTTCATCAAGCAAACAGCTCAACATGCACAGGATACAGCCGCGACTGAGTTGTTGGAATCAAAACGTAAACTTTTGGCATACAAGTCTACAACAGATACATTTGTGAACACTACTGCACCAATGTATGATGTGTGTACAAAATTCTCATCACTAGATCTCTTACACAGACTGCCTGTTGAAGATATATTGATTGATAGGTTGACATTACTGGAAACAATTAAACCACCTTCATTGCAATTCAGCTGGAGAGACCTTAATGTTGACTTGCATAGTGCTATGGCAGATCCCGTGAATCTTTTTAAGTTCTCAAAACCAAACTTTAATTCATCAAACACAGACCACGCAATGGTGGTACATGCATCTACACCTGACGCAGCAGCACAGGACCCATCTCAACTACCAAAGTCAAGTGCCGACGATGTCAAAGAACAGAATGAAAAGCAAACTCGCAATGATCATAACAAAGTAGAGGAGCAGGTACAAGTGAATACATATAAACCTGTAAGTGTGTTTCCGGTCAAAACAATCACTGACGAAGTTAAGCCGAAAATTACATCTGTAGCGTGGCTAAGTAGTAGTTCATTCGTTGTCAGTGATAAAAACAACAATAACATTTCTGTATACAACACAGACGGGAGTTGTCTTTGGAGTCAACCAGTGAAGAATCCCTTGAGTGTTGCCTGCATAGGAAATGTGATTGCATGTTCTAGTAACAATGACCTAATGTTCTATAAAAACAACCAGGTTCTCACCCGAGTAAAAACTAAAATGAGTGCAATGCGCGTGACAAAAACAACTGATTCATTGTTTCTGGTAGCAACACCGTCAGAAAACCGAATGAAAACATTTAACACAAACGGAGAAAATGTTGGGGAAATAACAGTTGAAGAAAACATCAAAGTTAGTATGCTTTCCAGCAACGGCAAATTTCACATCGCGTCAGATTGGTCTGAGGGTTCCGTTGTTTTTATTGATAAATATTCAGGACGAGTAATAAACCGGCATTTCTTCAATGACAATAGATGGGGACATCCTGGGGCGACTTGTGCAGACAATCAATCAATATTGGTTGCTGATTATCATATGCATGCAATTCACGTGTTGTCGAAAGAAGATGGAACACGTTTACAACACTGGTCTTTGAAACCGTCCATCTATCACCCTATTGGTATGTCGTTCCACAGGAGTGGTCGCCTACTGGTAGTGGGAGACTGCAAAATAGCCATATACTCGAAAGCATCCTAAACAGACGTGTTAATAATGACTAATTTGAAAGATTGCTACGAGTTTAAAGCCTGGAAGAATGGCATTGAATCTAGGTTAAATTTCAAATTCGATGAACGCATAATGTCGTGGGCCGCATTTGGTGCTTGAAACACGTATCGTTGTAGTGTGTACATACCGTTGTGTTGTAGGGTTCCATAACATTTTACTTTAATGTTCATTTTATTCCGTTCCTAGTTTTGTCGCTTTCTGACTGTGAGATTCGGTTTAGTTCGTTCTATTGCAATTTCTGGTTGCGATTTTTGGTTCCTATTAACAACTCTTAAGTGGTAAACGTAAGATTGTAAGCAGAGACATACTGGTTTTGTATGATACTGGCGTAAATTGATGACTTCGTAAACTCATCGTGAATTGCCAAATACATGGAATAAATCATGCACCAAACCAAATCATCAGCTTAGCTTCTTTTCTCAGCACCAAGAATGAGTTCATCTTGTTTTCACTTACCAACCAATTTTAAACTTAGTGCTTAATATTTCATAAACCTTATAGCTAACCAGAACTAGGTATATATTACCGAATCTGGCTGTCCATAGTACAGTATAATTTTTTATCGTTATCAATCTGGGCCGTCGATATAACAGATTAAATAAAAAAAAACTTGGCGAAGACATAATGAACATCTAGAAGTCATATCATATATGCCATAACAAACCAGGCCAGTTATAGTACAAATCTCGTTGACCAGGGCCAACTGGTCATGATATCGTCCGGCATTCGTTTCGGAGCAGTATCTGACCTGCGTGAAACCTGCACGGGGATGTACAGGGCAGTTTGTGTTTGAATGTTTCTTGTGTCAGTGAACACAATATGTCATTATATTTTTTATTGATTTTGATTGAATACAATCTTAATTGTGCAATTGAGGCAGATAATTGATTTGATATTAAAATTGGCAATAGGTGGAACATTTATCAAATAAAGAAATAAGATTTTTAATTCATTCGAGTTGTCTTTCTTGGAACACTGGATCGCAGTAAGTTTGCCGTTTGCTTTTAAAGATTCTACACTCGTTAATCGCAGTCCTTGGTGATTGAACCGATAATGGAGTTAAATCATCGGATTCGTGTAAGAATTCCGAAACTGATACAACTTATATACATATATCATACAAGGGCATGGCTTATGAAACATATTTATAATTTACAAATATAGGACGTGCCTAGTTCTAGTTCCATTACAAAAGAGAGCCGGTAAGGGTTGATATGTATAAATTACAACCTTGCCGTTCATAGTACAGCATGTACGCATTGACGAAAAGGTCGTAGTCCAGAGATTACAGTGAGCAGGATCCTAGCGTTAGTGCTATTCATGGTACAGATCTCGTAAACATTTTCCGAACATAGTACATGCATGTATTTTAATTATAGCTAGCAAAACAACATGACTGTCAGATATCGGTGAAACAACGTGGCATGTTTACAATCAAACAACATGAACGATCTACACGTTCTCATTATCATTAATATGATCGTATTATGTGGTATCCTCTGTATCAAAATAGTTCAATATAATGTATATTACTTGTAAACATATAATGATTACTCCCAGCTTTATCACACGCCCTATATATTACAATGTAGGATACAAAGGTAGTATCCCAAAGTTTTGTTTTGAATTGTGCGTATGAATATATTTCACGGGGGCATTAGCTCGAGTAGAATGTGCGTATCCATTTGCACAATAACGGAGTGCAATTTGAGACGACCGATGAACATATATGTGTGGCATTGTTTATTATTATACATATATATATGCTAAATATAGTTTCTGCAACAGACGAGGACCTCGTATCAATATTCAGTTTGGTTTTCGGAAAACTTGAACCAAAAAACAACTGCGATATTAAAACGGCCTAAAGGACGGATAGCAAATAATGGCACCAACATTTCAGAACCTTTTTTGTACCAATTCGTCTATTTGATCAGTTGATATCAAACAATGAATTGCAACCCAAAAGGAGTTCTGGCTAATGGATAATGCAACATTTTGAATTTTCGCAGTATGAAAGGCAAGTCCTTATATTCCATGACCGGAATATGAGCTGTATCACTATAATAAGATTAAGCAAGTTTGTAATAATAATAATATAATGTCAAGGTGTTTAGAGGTTTTTCACATGCACAGTGTGCTTAGACGTGTGTTTGTACTTTATATAATAAGTTAATATATCAATTGTTTGATGTTTATTATTTAGTTCTATATCTATATTGGTCAATTAATCATGTATCAACATTTTTTTGTAAACAATTGAAATGAAAATGTTGCAATATTTAAGCATTGAACTGTTACCAGATGCAGTATACAGTCGATATGAATGCAATTTGGGTGACAGATACATATTCATGTCGCCCGTTAATGCTTATATTTACATTTATATAGTTTGTTTTGTATAGTAACTGAAGCAAAATACGTTTTAATTTCCCGTCAGTAAGTTCAAATCCCAGAACAGCCGAGTTTTCCAGAAGAAATAATATAGTTCCTCGTGTCATTGTAAACCACACGCAAATAAAACGGTTTGAACACAAACTTAACTTTATTATTTATTTCATGAGTGTGTATATGTTGAAAAACTGTTAATAATTGCATAACTTCTGCTTGTTTAAAATTAAAGCTATTGTTCGCGCATTGATAGAATACATGTATTTGGAAGTGATGCGGCGCTGAACGGACTCGATTGTTTCCTCGGAAACGCTTTTGTTTCCATCGACTGGTATATTACGTTATTTTCAGAAGCATATATAATTGGAAATTTTTAATTAAAGTGGTCCTTTCAGTAGGTGATAACGATTCCAAGGACATTTCGTTTGAAACAGATTCCATGTCTAATCGGTCAGAATAGCATCGCTAAAAGACGACGTTCACGGGGACTCGGTTTCGTGACTTTGAGTAATGGATGACATCACTGAAGAACCACAATGCTTAAAAAAGTATTTATATACATTCTAAAACCTTGCCGATACTCGACTTTTACAAGGTTTTATAAATGCTGAATTTTAGTGTTGTGGTTATTCACTGATGTTATGTATAACTCAAAATTATGTTCGTCTAAATCGAATATCTAAATTATGATGTGAAGATATTCGAAAAAAAAATGAATACCATATAAAACGAGAACAAAGTCACATATAAATTGTTACATAAATAAACTGTTTATTGAATAAATTGTAAAACATAGTGGATTATCGTCTCTGTATGCGTTTAAATAAACACAATAATAAAGATAAGTAAGGCACACATATCAAATATAATAATACAAACACAGGTCAAACTGTACCCAGTGTCAAACTTATAAAGACGTCAACAAAGGTTGAGATATTGGCGGCTCGTTTCCCGGTCCCTGTAAATTTGTTTTATTAGCATGCATTTCCATCTGTTGGTTAGTTATAAGAGGGCCTCCTTTTATAACACCGAAGTAACACGGGGGTACTCTTACATTTTATCTATGTCACTTAAAAAAATAATCTATAACAATGTACAAAATATTCTCTTCAAAAAGTAAGTCATTTAACAAAAGCGCGGAAAAGCAGTAATTGATAAATATTATCTGCCTTGAGTAATTTGAAATGAATATCGAAGAAGATATTTTGCCAGTAAGAAAAACAAAAGTCCACTCTTTTTCGCGACTAAGGACTACCTCCTTTTTATTCTTCTTTTTTATTGTGTGTGTCTTATAGGTGTTGATTTGTTGACTAAAATGCTATTAAGTTTAAGTGCGTTTGTTTCTTATTTCTTTTACTCGTCTGCAACTCTATATAATAGCACTAAGACCACAGATGTAATTAAAGGTATCAGTTAGCCACAATCGATGTCTCAAGTCCATATGGAGGGCCTCATACACAAACATTACTCCTTTAAACTGATAAAGTGTTTATGTAAGTGCAGGCGTTTGTGTATATGTAAGCGTTTGTGTGAATGTAAGTGTTTTTGTTATTGTAAGTGTTTGTGTTAGTGTAGGTGTTTGTGCGAATGTAAGTGTTTGTGTAACTGTAAGTGTTTGTATGAATGTAAGTGTTTGTATGAATGTAAGTGTTTGTATGAATGTAAGTGTTTGTGTTATTGTTAGTGTTTGTATGAATGAAAGTGTTTGTGTTAGTGTAAGTGTTTGTGTTAGTGTAAGTGTTTGTATGAATGTAAGTGTTTGTGTTAGTGTAAGTGTTTGTGTTAGTGTAAGTGTTTGTATGAATGTAAGTGTTTGTGTTATTGTTAGTGTTTGTATGAATGAAAGGGTTTGTGTTAGTGTAAGTGTTTGTGTTAGTGTAAGTGTTTGTGTTAGTGTAAGTGTTTATTAATGTAAGTGTTTGTGCAAATGTAAGTGTTTGTGTTAGTGTAAGTGTTTGTGTTAATGTAAGTTTTTGTGATAATGTAAGTGTTTGTGTAAATTATTAGTGCAGTTATAGATTAATTGATTTACCACAGACAAATATTGGGATGCTACATGTATGTATTTACCTTATTGGTGGTTTTAAATTGAATAAGTCACATGATATATACAAAATTTAGACAGTGCTATTCGGTTAACAAGAAACTAAAATGTTAGTTTGACAAAAAATGGTAATGCACCATTTTATTTAATTCTAACTAAAAGAAATAATTGATAAATATGTATATGAAAATTAATAGTTAAGATAAACTGTTTAGGAAATATTAAAACTCACAGCTCTTCTTTAATTAAATTCGAATAATAATATTGTATTTGTGGTCGCATCTTTCTATACATTTTCATTTATTTTTTCTAAATAAACATACTCGATACATAATAGTCTTTGTAGTGTAAGCGAAAAACGAAATGTAACATTATGTAACACTTCTGCCATTTGTACAAATGAGGAGCAATTATTTTGTTTCACAGCTTTTATCAATGACATAAGTATGAATTAAGTGTCAGTTAGTGGGTTTTGATAGTTTGTGTGACAGATCTTAATATCTAAGAGGTCAATCCTACCGTTATTTAACGGGAAAATTAAGGAGAACATGATAACAAGGAATTTAGCTCTTTCGGATTTTAAAAGATAGAAACAAAGTTATCCCAGGGACTTGCATGTTGTAATGATCTTAAGGTATTTTTCCGATACTTTTTCTTTTCCCCTTTGTACAAAATACCTCTATTGAGAGAGTGTGTATACTGAGTTCCGTGAGTTCGAAAATTGTCTATTAATATTTATCTTATTCGGATCTACCAATATATTTATTGTCATAATATATTGTAGAGAAATAGGTTATTGAAATCATACATAATATTGAAAGTAACTCCGATTTTTGATAAGGTTTTGATTAGTGACAAAGAAGACATTTGCGATTATGCATGTGCTGTTTATACGCCCATTAAACTGTTTTAGTCTAATGTAGTATTTATAGTTATGAATTAAATATGATTAACAATACGATATATATATAAATATATATATTTATAAAGAGAAATATATCATTGTACAACTTCTATTTATATCATTGTACAACTTATATATATAAGCTGTGGTATTAAATGTATAACTCGATAGTGTATGGTTTTTAGTGGTCAATGTCAATGTAAAGAGCATCATTATCATGTTTAATTTGATTGTACAACTGACAGACATTGCTTTATGATAAAATAATATCAAGAAGATGATATGAAATAAATTAAATAACAAAATCATAGTGCTTTAAATACATAATGATTTGGTCCAATGCATCGTCATTTGATGCACTCAAGACGATGAGGGCAGTAGCATTATTTGTTTGAGTTACATGTCCAAATTGGTTAATGAATGTTATATTGAATCAATATTTTCATTTTCTTTCGTGTTTGATATTCGCCAAAGACAACAGAGAATATAACTTGTATTCAACAAGGCATATCCTTAAAGTTTACGCTTGTTCCGTAACTGTTGTATATGAAACAGCAAACAAAACAAAATAAAGGCATATGTAAAACACATATCAAAAATATATAATTTTGTATAAACTTTAAACAAATGTGAACAACAACATAACTTAATAATTAATAAGAGCGTCATATAACACGGTAATTGTCAAAAAGCTATGCTTACTGAGACTGCCACACGGTTTGATCTCGAGTGCTGACGAAACTGAACCACAGCAGTGTTTTATGCAATGTTTACTGGACATACTCGCCCAGAGATGAAATTCGTATCAGCTAATATTTGTTTTTACAAATCGTGTAGTATAACTGTTGTGGTGCTAAAATTGTGATGCTCTTGTCATATGCATCCTTTCTGATTGCCATGCATGGTCAGAACTTGACACTGGTAATTACAAGAAAAATACAACGCAACTGTATGTGTATTAGTTAATAAACAACGCTGACTAAGTATGACTTAGATTTCGAAGGGTGTCTGGGGTAGAAAGTTTTAAAATGAAAATTTCTAACAACATGCAGGAGAAGAAATTATTTACATCGCTATAGATAGGAGAACCTCAATTTACATTTAGTTTTCAAAATCTTTCTGCTACCGGAACACATTTTTTTTAAACATAGATATTTGCTGTCATTATAAATCCTTCCTTTTTAGAAGACAAAGGTTAACTACATCATCCCAAATCAACTATCAAATCTATGTAGTGTGAATAACAATGAAACCAGCGTTTGATGTAATAAACCTTTAACATATCAACATACATTAAAGTATATGTACTTTTAGCAAGGAGCCACGGTGGCCGAGTGGTTCAGACGTTAGACTGTCTACGATCACTAGCCAATCACCACTGGAGGTCGTAGGTTTAAGGCATATGTGGGGCAGTGGCCAGGTCCTGTCCGTAGGTCGGTGTTTTTTCTTCAGATACGGCGGTTCTCCCCCACTTACAAACCCTGGATCGTCCTTAATTGATCAACGTTGTTAATAGGACATACACCATACACAAACACTAAACAAAACAAGTTGTAGTGAAAACAATAAGGCTTACATGTAAAATGTTCAACCGTATCACAAAAAATATTTGAATAGATATATGTTTTTCAGTGTAAAAAACTTGATATAATTAGTTTAAAGCACTTTCCCTCTAAGGTTATTATTATACTATTTTTGTTTTCAATACGCATAAAACCAGACATTGAATAATATCTGCAATCTATTCAGCTGGTTTTATATTTATAATTTTACTCCTCATGTAGAGTGTAAATAGGTAATCATTACTATAATGTAGTCTAATTGTTAACAAATAGTACGTCTCTATGATGCAATGCGTTGCGCTTTGGTGTCATATGTTATCGTCTCACAAAATACAGGCGTTACGAGGAAGATTTTCAAAATCCTGGAAAGTATTTGAATATGTTGTTTCTGTTTTCAAACATTCCTGTTGTAGGAGGGACGTCTTTCTATCGACAATCACATCCTGTTATTATACGAAGTTCACTTCCACAAAAACGATCGAATTAAGTTTCATGAAAGTAACTATCGAAATTTGGAAATCACATGCATCTCAATCCAGATAGTTAGCTGTCAGCCTTCAAAAGACGCAAGGATTCCCATTTCACACGCCTTTAGTTGATGTAGATGTTGGTTGAGTCCAGATACTGCCCGATGAAGTTGTAACAGTACTGGTACTGCTCCTGAAATATATGAAAGACATTCTCATCAGCACTGACTCGCATTTGTATAATAATTTACAAACTAACTTTGTCTGTTGTTTTGAAAAAAGTAAGTCGCACCCTATGTATCGTTGAACAACTCTTCGAAACGCACAGTGTTCTATCGCAAACATACCGTGTTCTATCCTTGAATAACTATCAAATAATACATGTATCTATTTTATAACAAGATGAACGGCACTCGAATAGATAGCAATGTAATTTATTATAAGTATTTGAGTTGATCATGGAAAATCAAGAATGAATCGTGTAATTTGTATTATTAATAGTCACAATTTCAACATTGATTTAACTAAAGAGGTTGTTAACGTAGAACATATTTAGAGCATGAAACTGATAAAGTTATTCCTAGCTTATTCACCAACTATACATGCAACTATATACATGTGTACCAACGATGAATGTATTGATTCAACTGAACAGGTTTCGGGACCAAAAAGGGTCTAATGTTGCGCTACACTGACCCTCGACCCTCATGAACGTTAAAACATCTGTTTGCATGTGTTTCTACGGCAAAAAAAAAACTTCTATAAAATGACGTTGCGTCTACGCTATTTCGTTTGATTAGATGCTATTTCCTATACTCCATCATCAGAATACTTACAATGTGTCTGAGAGCTTGTGGGCGTCGGACTTGTATTTGTCTAGACGTTTGAAATATGTCCACTTCATCATCCATCTTCATTTGATCCCGGACGTTTGATATACAACAGAATAGTCCACTCTGTGTGCATCCGTCCCTAAGTAATTAAAACGGCCATGTGTATAAAATGTCGACTACTATAAACGACTAAACTAAAATAGCTAAAACTGTTAGCGCAGGCTAACTGATAAGGATTCATGCCATCTCAGTTAGTTGTGTTGTTTTGTCTTTTCTTGGTATTTAATATCAGTCATAATAAACTCGATTCTGCTTTATGTAAATTGATATTAAGTTGTGTAACATATGAAATAAAATACACTTTTCTCGTTAGCTTTTAAGAAGGCAATTCAAAATCATGTTATATTTAGTTTATTAAATGGTTGACTCTGAAGTCCCTGAGGTTAGACATAGCCTTGTAGTTGGAATATATTCTGGCAGAGATTACATGAAGCACTCGTTTAATGACAACTTATCTGTTGTAGCTGATAGTGATCAAATTGTAAGATGTTCATAGACACAGATCCCATTTCATTGTATTTTACATATGTTTCGGAACAATTAGGATATACAAATTTCATTCATCATTGCCACTGATGAGATGAGGCCTAAATGTACGAAATGACCATATGATGCAGAAAAATATCTACTTTTTTAGGCTTCGGTTTGTACAAACATACTTTTTGATATGTGCTTCATTTCTTTGTATTTCTTGTGATTATTTAAAAGAAATTAAGTGATATTTCGCGAAATTCGTAAAAAGAGTATATACATTTACGGACGAAGGGAGTGATAACGTGCACTAGTCATTTAAAGTTACTTTATACACACTGATACAACCAGTGGAGAAAGAGAGAGTTGGACGAATATAGCCAGTAAAGAGAGCTTATTACTATAACATATATCACGGCAGAAATACAGTCACATCTACACGGCTGAATATCATGTTGTTTTTTACAACTGACGTGTCGAGTTCATCGGTTGATATATTGTAGAGCGACATTAAAGTGGAAGAGGTCTTTCAATAAACATGAACAAAACACAGTTAATTGATGAATAGTGATCGCCTCATTTTTTCCTTTATCAGAATGTAAACTTACTGACACATGACGACCACAGGTCTTGTGTTGTCTGACCGTCGACGACTGTCCAGCTGCTCAAGCAAGAGGAGAAGGGACGAGTTGGAGGGGGGCAGCAAAGAATCCGATGACCACTCCTTCATAGTGAAGATCCGTATTGTCATGTCAGTACTGGAGCTCTGTAACTCGAAAAAATATAACAATAGTAAATTATTACAATTTAAAATAAAGAATATTAACGCCGTAGTTTATATATTCATGTATCCCTTTAAAATATTAAGCCCTTTGCTTTATATAAATGTATAGCATTAATATATAATGTATTGACGCACAATACAGATATATATTGTTGCTAACAACGCCGGGATCGGTGTCATTGTCACGTGTTTTTTTTATCCCATCACGCGTAATGTGAGATCATATCTTGAACAAAACCCTGCAAGGCAAATATAACAATACATGTTCATCTTGTTGTCTAAACATTTGTTTTGTCTTGACTAGATATGTTAGATTGCATTATGAAATATGCTCTATATACCTTGCTTGTTATGTTATAGTCAGCAACATCGACGTCGGGAATGACTTCTAATGCGTTCTGCTTTTTAACATATACCTCATGGGCTCCATTTGTTTCGCTCTCTTCTCGAAGCCAGTGCTGTAGAAAGAACAAACTGAATTGATTAACATCAATACATTCTGTATTATTCAGTTATGAATAAAAGTCTATGAGAACTATTAAAATTCCTATACAAAGGTAATGTTAATGATATTTTGGTCCAACTGTAAATATATATATCACGTCCTCACTTGCTGGGTTCCACGACGTTATGTTTAAGTCTTAAGTGTAACAGCTAACTTTTCAAGGATCTGGAAATGGATAAACTATTTGATGGTATTAACGATTCCTTCCTTATGTGTCGCATTGAATGATGGAGGATTCCTTATGCAGTGATCGTCAGACTTATATCAGAAAAACGTTAATAAAAAATATTCGTTTGAAAATTTACGAATGAAGTCAAGTGTGACAATTCACTTGTCAAAGTTGATAATTTTACATTTACCCTTTGTAAAATTTATTCAAAACATTAACTGTAAGAAAATCCCTAAAAGTTTGCTATCATATTTTTTTTTTTTACTGTACCATGAACATAAATATCTGAAAAAAGGTATCTGTATTATCACGAGAAAATGTCTAATACTGAAAATTCCTATTTATGTCTGCAATGAGAAATAATCAGTATCAATATACCATACATGATATAATCAATGAGGTTTTGGAGTTTAAGAGTTTCGGTATACACGTCTTTGGTTGGGTAGTCGGATTCATGTTTTGTGTTAAGATCTTAAGTACCTTTCGGTATGAGCATATACTGTAAGATCATGGCAGGAAACATGTGGTCACCTATTCTGCCAAAGACATGTATAACTAAAACTGTTGAAATTTTCTTCTCACCTCTTTAGGGGTACCTAGGACAACGATGTTCTCACAGTTGTAGTCAATCACCATCGTCCACAAGTCATCAACCGTGCCCTCTAACGGAAACTGTGTCATAAGGTACCCTGATTTCGACCTGTGTGACTAAAATGAAATTGAATGAATAGTTAATGAGCGCTTCACAATAACAAAAGCGGAAAATGTCGTAGCAAGTCAGTAAACAAAATATAAAATCTGTTATCAATGGCTTACCCGTAGCATAACAGCATTGATGTAGTCATTCCTGCCGCCCACCTGTGACCGCAGGTAAGCTCGATACATGTCAACTAAACAACAAAGAGTAAAGGCAACATGTCAATTTGAATCGTAACAAAAGATATACAAAAAGTAACTAAAACGGTTTCAAACATGTTACTATTAAAAAGCTTTGCTGATATTCACAAAATATTATTTTGAAATGCACATATATAAAAAAAAACACATAACGTATAGTACTATTGTGATATTTAACTATACATACCTGCTTTAATAGACATTGTTCTGTTTTTGCTCTTGTTTTCTTTCATCATTCCAGCTCTGTAGCAACTTGAATCATATTTGGGAAGGAGTGTCTGTAAATTCTTTAAAAAAAGTTAGAAAAATGTATTGCAATCTCATTGATCATTTATATAGAAACACTATTTTAATTTCCGAATCTTGAAAAGCACTCACTTCAAATTCTTTTCGTAGCTTTGTTTGGTTTGTTGGTTTTCCGGGCGGAAGCGTTTTTCTCAAAGTTACAGGAAAGTCAGTATCGGAAATCAGAGTATCCGTTAGATCGTGTGTCTCGACAAGCAACTCGTGAATAGCGATATACTGTTCCTGGAAAGTGAATAAACAAGTATGTCATATTAGTACAGGAATGGTAACAAATTGTATACCATTTACGTTTATCTCTACGACATATTGGATAAACCTGCTAGGAAACGGTAAACAATTGTGGTTCCCCACCAGTGTGTGATACCTTCGACGTGATTTCGTTGGTCAATATTTTATTAATGACGTCGATCGGAGATAAGGAATGTCTTTTTTTTTAAACATGTGTTTTGGTTCATTTCACAATTTGAAAATAAACAAACTCGGGTTTTATACATAAGATAATTAATGGTCATCCGTTGGGGAACGTATATGTAAGAAATAACATATGTAAATCAAAGCCTCCTTTTGGATTTTTGTTATAACTAAAGGAGTTACTTTTTATTTTACCAGAAAACTATCTGTCTACATTTATTCTCTTACATGAGTCTGAACCATATTCATTCGGTCCTCCCGCATCTTTCTTATATAACGGGGAATATCCACTTGTCCAGATTTCTTTTCCTCCTTTGAAAGAGCATCTAAACCTATGAAGGTTCCCGTCCTCCCGATTCCAGCACTGAGATAAAGAAAATAATAGTAGAAGTCAGTGATATTTTGTTACAAAATGTGATAAATATCTTCGCTTAGGTTGAACATATTTTATTGTTAGTCAGAATTCGAAAATGCGATCGGATATACTGTCCCATATTAAACGAATACATAACATAAAAAGTATAATTAACTGTTGATGTATTTAGAATAGGAAGTCTAAAAATCCAGATGCTGTCAAGATTGTCCGACTGATCTTGCCATTTAAATGTATCTAGCATTTATAATCAATGTTTACTGGCTTTGTAACAAGGTTCAAAGCATATGTATTTGCGTAAAAAAAGTGGACTCATCTGACCTCATAAAAAAAGTATTGGTGAAACTAAAAGACAATCGTAACGACATCCGGCCAGACAATTTTGGCGGAAGTATTAAAAAAAACATAGAAACGACAAAACTGAAACCATTAAAAAGCTTTAGAAATATCATAAGAATGATAAAATAAGGAACGTCAAATCGTACCAAACAATTTCCTTTTTTAAACACAGGGAAAATCTTTTTCTTCATTCGAGCCAAAAGAACAGAAATATCAATAGAATTGAGGATGAGACACCATCTGAATACCTAATACTGTCTTTAAATAAACCGACCTGAGTTGTTCTAATATAACACCACACCAACCCCACACCCCAACCAAATCAAACTATGGAAAGAACATAAACTTCTACTTTTATAAGGATCGTTTTCCTTTTGAATTGTTTTTTTATGACAAAACGAGTGCCTATGAAAGCTGTCTTTTGTTTTTTTGAAAATGTATTATGTCACTACTTATACCGGCTACGGAAATCGTAAAGGTGACCTACGCCTGTTGTAATAGCAATACCTGCAGTGTACAACCATCTGCCCAGTAAGATGTGTCCTATACGATGTCACACGGCGGTGGAAAAGGACGAGATCAAGAGTGTCCGGAGTTCCGTGGTCTGGCCACGTCGTAAAGTGGAACTGGTGAACCTGACGCTCATCTTTTGTCTACAAAAATATAATATTATTCTTAGCGAAAATATACACCATTTACTACTTTTCTCAATTCGTTCGCCATAAGTCGAAGTTCTACCAAACTCTTTTTACAAACAGAAACAGTTTGCCCTAATAGGATTCCTCGGAAATACACAAATCATTCAAATAATACCAGTACAACTCGAGCAGTGACACGTGTATACTACGTATATATGAGCAATTTCCATCGGTTATTCCTCCCGTTAACACACCTACATTTGATAAAAACTACTGAATACTTCAATGGTTATATTTCTTTTACCTTTTTGTGTGTCACTGAAATCTCTCGTAGTACATAAAAAGCATACGACCTCTCTCGATCGAGACTGATGTTGAAATGCTTCGTTGATAAAGATTTACCTTCGTCAGGCCAGTATTGGTGACATTTGACCTAAAATGTCGTAAAATTCAAAATATGCAAACACCATATAAATTAAGCAAAATAATCTATACAAATGTACCAATATGAAAGCAGATATACATTAGCTGTAAGACTGATTTCATATATCATAGTCCAAAAACAATGATTAGTAAACCAGGTAATTCTTTTTCAATCTATAAACCATTTCACGTACAGTATTTGTAATGGGTAAGAGTAAAGTAGATTTGCAACTGATATAGCATACTAATTAATATTTTATATATTTATATATATATATATAGTGTATATTACAAAAAAAAACTATATCATTACATTGCCGCCCTCGATAAGGTTTGTAACCATGACGATTTTTCCAGTGTTCAGTTGCCAAACCATCCTCCAAAAGTCGTCCACCGTATTTGGCTTTGGCCCTAGAATGTAAAATTCCAAGATTGGCACCACGAAACATACTATGTTGCCTATTGTAAGTCACGTTCTTGTATACAATAACGTGAATACGAGTAGGTGTGAGAGTCCGTTTTTATAGCGACGGGGCTGTTTCAAAGCTAAGCAAAGTATTTCATAATCAAAATATCATTACAAAAAGGCACAATTTTATTTACAATATAGTCTGCATTCGAATGGCAGTACATTGAACCCACTTGAATAAGAAAACAAAAATTGACATTTTTGCTGGTTCAAGAGAAGAAACTTTGTTAGCATTACCTTGACATGCGACATAAGCTTGGCAGGCGTCGATACTCTATCATTTGAAATGGGAAAAAAAGAAACATATTTGTGATTGACTGTGTATCATTTAGAGTTTTCCAAGTAATATCGAAGCACGTTAGAGATGCATGACATATTTCCAAATGTCTATGAAATCAGTAATAAAAGAGATACCAAAAGTTTATTTAAATACCTTCACTACATCATATGCAATAAATTCAACTACATTATCAACAGTCAATAGCAGGTCAATGAAGGTACAGTATTCATTGTATTTCTATGACAATCCTATATTGTACATGTATCACATCACAGCCGCCGTTCAGCAACATCGCTACTTATACTGCGTGTCCGTTGAACAGGTTAATCTTTTTTTTGGAATTGTCGTGAAAGAATCCATCAATTACATTTTAGCATTTGGTACGAAAGACATAAATTTTATTCGAAGAAACCAAAATTGTGGTATTTCTGGACAAAAAAAGTGGTGTTTCTTTCTAAGACAAACATAAACACAGGCTTACTTCCTAAATGTCTTATACATAAGGCCCTACATGATACTTTATACGATTTCGAAAATACGTAATTGACTTACGTCAATGTAATTGGCGTTAATGTAGGTCGAGTCAGGATCATTCGCAATCTTATCCAGTATGACACGGGAATGGTCATCTGAAATAAAGGACCGTTGCTCCTTAACCACTGTAATTAGCTGTGAGAAGTTTAACTTAAAGGATATGCTATCTGTCTGGTAGCTACATGTAGTAGGCATATTCAGCATACCAACATCTATGCTGTAGTTTACAAATCGTTTAGAAATGCTTGTTGAACAGCCGGAAAGAAAGTGGTGTAAAGCTTTGGAATTTAAATCGACGTCACCATCCTGACAATGCATCTAAAACTGGGTTCAACTTTATGCGTTCAAAGGTTCATTATACAGTTTCCTTATTACATTAGGGGAACAGGTTGGATAAGAAATTGCATTTGCCGAAAAGGAGACTTTTGGACGTAATACTACTTTTTCATATAGTAAAAAACCTCTGTAAATGTTTCACAAACAATTATGGCAGATTTTGATGTTAATATTGTATAATTAGCGATAAAAACATAATCAATACTTTTCTCAAAACTGACATACCATAGTATTGTTGAGTTACCAAAGTTACAATGTACTGAGGACAACTATGAAAGTGGGATGCTCGTGCACCCCTTGCTGTGCCCTTGGTTTAAACATGTACTAAGTGCGCGAGTCAGATGTTTTAGACGAGGACACACGGCCGTTTTTACTTAACCGCCACCTCCTCATAACCATAGCATCATTAGTAGAGAGGTATTGCATCATATCTAAAACAATTTACTCTCGTTATCTCTATTCTTATAGCCGAGATGTATTTCGGCAAATACACTCATCGACAACCATTATTTAGGCTACTGATGGAATCCATATCCGTTCTATTCAAAAGCAAACATTATTTTCGGGGATATGTAGTATTATTTAACAAATCATTTTGAAAAACCTTAGAGACTGCTCATCATGATCGATCGGTTAATCTCCTTGTAATGTTTATGTATATAATGTAAATACTATTTGACGAGGCAGAGTTTTGTGTTGTTTGAAAAACGACAGAAGAAACAAGATTACATGTTTTGTTCCCATTATTTCACACACATAACAGTCTATATAAATATATTTGTTGTGTAACAGAACAGATGGTTTTGTAACTAAGATTTTGACAGGAAATTATTAAATTAATAGAAAAGAAATATTTAGATCACAAAAGATAATGGGCACCATTTTAAAGGTGAACTTTTATATTATTCCCTTTACATACTTAAACATCCCCTTGTATTGTTTGTTTTTAAAAAAAAACTGCTGTTTCTTTAGTATTTCCAATATAATTACTTACAAGGAAATGTTGTTTTGAATCTGTTCTTTGGTTTATTGGATGCTTTAGCACCTACTAGGTGAGGATGTACTGCTCCCCAGGGTAACTCCTGTATATAATATAAAAACACAATGTATTACTTTCTATTTTTTAAAGTTAAAATTAAACATACAATGCATGATAAAAAAACTGAGAAAAGATTAGTATAGTATGCATATATGAGTTATTCTCTGAAGAATTAGCAGATTGAAATGCAAAATAAAAGTCTAACTTAAATATTTACTTCCTGGTCCTTATATCTAAACCACGCTCAGCATTGGGCGTGACAAGTATTTGTTATGTTCGGCAGACAAAATTCTAATAATCTGATCATTGTCGGCAAGCACTATTATATTTATTGCTTGAAAAAAAAGACGCCTTTGCCTGATAACTAAGGCAACTATTTAATATGATGTCCATTTCTTCGAAAGGGGTAACGATGCATGTATCACAATATATGAACCTGCCTCGTTTTTATTAGATTTCGAAACTATAAAAGAATGTATATGAACACGATTGTACTGCAGGCTCTGACAGCTGCTCGACCAACACATTAGAAACTTGCTTCTACCATTATAGTACAATGCAATCCGAAAAGATAACGAATTGTGGCATTTAATGATCCATGAGTGCAATAAATAAAATGTTGGTTTTATTCCGCCTTGAACAACCTTTCCTCATAGATTGAATACTGAATGCTGACAGATAAACTTATAACACAGGATTGGAAATGAAAAAAACAGACACTTACCCTTCCATACCACTCAATAGTACTCATTTTAGTTTTTGCTTTGTTCAGAGATCGCCATATTGTCAAAGATTTGAATTTGAATAACGGTTTTATATACACTCCACCTTAATCTTGTTATTTCCTTGTACTAATGTACATCACAATGTAACTTATTGCAGCATATTTATGTTACTACTAAGCAGTAGCGACATGTTTATTACGTTGTAAAAAAGTGAGTATATTACCAGACGATCACGTAACCTTTTGCAGAAATAAAAGCGTTCTGACGAATAATGAGACTCAACAATGGTCTTGGTGACGGCACTGTATCAGCTTCATAAAATATCATGATAGAAGCATTTTGGAATTAAAAAATATCGCAAATATGAGTTCAAATGTTAAATTTAATTTTACAATTTTGTTAGGATATTCTTCATGAAGATTTGATTTTCTATTTACTTTCTGCGTCTTTTATTTTTTATCAACCATATCAAATAAATGCAAATTACATGTAGTTCTTATCCAATTTTCTTTAAAATAAGAGTCGCACCATACCTTGAATTCCTTCTTAAATTCTTCTTCTTCATTTTCCATCTTTTTTGGTATCATTGCACGGATGTCATCAATAGAGACACCGCCCGAGGTGTCCATATTGCTATATACCACTTCTTCGTCCTTCTTACCGACATCACAGACGTTGATGTATTCGATCGCTTTATCATTTGTCACAGCTATAAAGAGTTGAAACAAGAATGAAACAAACTATTCAAAAAGAAAGGAAGTTTTTCAAAATGATATGAAAATGCAAATGAATAATGATGTACAAAGCTGCTAGATTTTATTTATTTTTAAAGCCAATTAGGATTATTAATACATTCTGCACTATATGGATCGACTGTTATATGTAGTTGCCCTAGCGTTTGGTGGTTGGATATTAAGTTTATCTAATTCTAGTAATTTGATGTTCAAGTTGTTTGAAGGCAGGACGTTTCCGAGTGCATATTTTTTTTTATTTTTTTTTATATATACACAATTTGAAAAGTAACTTATCAGAGATACATAAACATAAAAGCCAGCCACCAGGAGTTTGGAGATCTTTTGTTTCAAAGCATTGATGTAATGTTTGAAAAAGATAGCTTCCTTTGGAAAATGCATTATGTGTGTTGCCGAACTGGTTTTTCACCATGTGCACATGCATACTTATTTGTTCAACCAGAAAATAAATATAGAAAGAACAGGGATTTTGTAATAATGGGATTAATTAACAAAAAAATGGCCATGTTCAAATTGAAAAAGATTAAACAAATTATCAAATACCTGACATATTGATAAGATAAGGTAGGCAAAGTAATATCCAACAGAAGCTGAAATATAAACCTCGTGTATTGTTTTTGCAGTTTCATATTAATATAATATAATTAATTAAGTCGTTCTGTTTTTCTCTCTTTTTTTAAACTTGTCGCTTTCAACCTTTGCAATATGTAAGAGTTACATTGCACTCACTGTCATGTTTAAAAAACAGTAACCTTGTTAGTAAATATTATTTAGAAAAAAAATATTGTGATGTTTGTGTCACATGGTTTGTGTTCACATGCTTAGTTTAAAAATAATGTTCTATTTTTTATCATTTAGTGACATATACTTATATTGAAAGTAGAAATACGGACGTGAAATCTGAGATGATTTTCTATGAATAAGCTAGTTATATTGTGCATGTTATCAAGTACATGTACAAAATTGATAAGATTGTCTATGAACTAGCTGGTACTTTTTTGCATGTTTGCGTACTGAAAACCATCCCTATTATGTAAACGAACGAAATGCATAAAGCGTACCACGGACTTTATATAAAAAAGGGGGTAATTGCTTTTGACTTTTTTCTACTCATTCGACTTATTGCACTCACAAAAGTGTTGAAATAAATCCGGATATTTCCATTTGATCTACATATTCCAGGCAAAACTTAAACAGGTTGATTTTTTTTTCAAGAAATTATATACTGTTTGGGTATACAAACAAAGTGCACCAATGTTAATATTTCTTGTCTGTTGACACCTATTCCATTAATATATAATACCCACACATTGCAGGCTTCGATGTCTCATGGCTTTTGCGCCCTGATTTAGCAAGAGGCAGGGATGACGTATTCTCTAAGTCATCATCGTACTCTGCATGTTGGTATGTCTTCTCTTTTGTTGGCAATTTTCTTCTGAAAAAAGGAATATTTGTCGTAAAAGTTTCAGCAACGCTGTAAGTTGTTGTCCTGATCAATGCACCAAGCATTAAAACAGGTTTATATATTTTTACATTAAGAGAATTGATCCCTGTTATGTTACTATATGTTTTTATACTGTGTAACTATATACTTGTACGATGTAATTGTGATATATGACACTATAATAAACAAAATTGACTTGACTTGACTTGTATGTATGTACGCACCAAGTATTAAAACAGTATATTTCATATTATGTTTTTAAATATAATCTTAAAGTATGTATAAATGTGTGTCCATTTAAATGTATGCATGTATGTATGTGTGTATGTATGTATGTATGTATATATGTGTGCATTTTTTTAGTATGCTTCCCTATTCTAGCTTCATCTTCAAGCTTATCTTTCCTTCTTTATTTTTCCTTAATTTAGAAATGGGGTTTTCGGTGTTTGTTAAACGACCTTAATCGACAAATGTAAAATTACAACACAGGTAAACATAGCCACTTTGTACCTGGACCGTAGTTTTCCCCGCCCAGGGCACTTACGTAACTCGCCAAGGTTGAAAACCAGTTGAAGGGGAACTTTAGGTTAAAACGAATGCAAATAACAAATACTAAACGCCCAGTTGTGTTTTCATAACGGTATACGGTATCACTTATCAGCTCTACCCGTTAGGCACAGGCCAGGTAAAATGCCGGTCACTCATCAAATTGTTATTTACCTGTTCTGTTACCTAGCTATAGGAGCCAAATCCATTATTGACAGTCTAACGGTCACTGTAATACTGTGTTACATGCATTGTAAAATTGTACATAATCTTAATTATTGCGATGAGAAATTACAATAATAAATACAGTTTACATTATTGCATACGAGCCTTCCGTATTTTTTTCATTTCGTAATATTGATCAAAAAATTGTACAAAATCGCACAGTTGTACAGAGAGAAGCGCACAACGGGGCGAACGATTGTTAAATCGCCCAGTTGTGCGCACCATTTGTGGACGATGTGCGGACGGTGTGTGACCGATGTATGCATACACGGTATTTTGGTGCGTTGTGCGGTCACACAACTGTATGTATATGTGTGTGTGTGTGTGTGTGTGTGTGTGTGTGGGGGGGTGGGTGTTCGTGTAGGTGTGTGTGCGTGTGTGTTCGTGTAGGTGTGCTTGCGTGTATGTATTGTAATTTGTATGTGTGTGTGAGTGAGTGTGTACATGTGCATACTGCATACATTTGTACAGAACATGCCCGTATTTTGACTTCTTCATCAGTCTGAACCCCCCTCAATTTATCTCTCTTGTCATCCTCTCTCCCTCTCACTTTCACTGTCTCTCATGTTAGTGTACCAGACCCTCTTTAGGTGTACAGGTATGTCTGCGTGTCTGTCGGTCAGACAAAATATCTGTTTCTTCGTTTGGAAAAAAAATATCTATAAAGTGTTAAATAAAATAAATAAAATAATTGTATTTCATGTCATTAACACAATTGCTGAAAATTGTATTTTCTCTGAATGACAAAAACTCAGAAAAGTTATTAAAGTAACCCCTATTCCTATTTTCAATGAAAAAAATATTAATGTTTTAGCCGTTTTTGGATCAACAGAAACTATATTTCTCTTCTTAAAACAGTCACAAAAATGGGGGTCGGTAGGCTTCCTTTTTGTATCGTTATTTTGAGTTATTTTTCACTTTTTTCGGGGTCAAAATCAACAAATATTAATTGTCTACTTTGTTGCATGTTGTTTTCATCATACTAAACATTATAAAGTTGTACAGTAAGAATAAACTGGATACAATTAACGATGGCGACACAATGACGATTTAAGTGATCAATCTAGTGTCAGAAAATGTGTTAGCTTGGCCTTCATGAAGCACAGGACATACAAACGTTTAAAATGGCCGCTGAATAGGTAATTCTTAAAACAAAATGTGAAAAAAGTACAAACGACAGGTATCTAGTTTTATGTGACATTTTTCAGGTGCGTGTTTGCTTTTAAAATTTACAATTATTTGTAAAAAAAAATATTACAAAAACCTGTTAAACGAGATCAAAACGAGACTTGAACGCGATTTAAACCTCAGAAGAGTACATCCTTAATATATTGATTTCACTTTGACGACGAGTTGGCTTTAAATAACACACTGACCACGTGGATCGTATGTATTCTCTGAACTTTAAATCAAAGACACCACATACTATTTTATTTCAATCGCTTACCTCGTTCTTTACCTACAACTTGACCACCATAGACGGTTTACTACTTATAAAGGTTACTAGTGACATCCCTACTTCCCTCACAATGTTTAGTCGTCGTAGTTGATACATACATGTCGAATACTGACGGACGAACTCACAGTCAGTTATCGGGGAATTTTACTACGAACGTCGTTCATGATAAAATTATTATTGAGATGATTATCGTGAATACCACATGATTAATACCAACCTTCTGATGACTATGATGACCACTATTATTACGAAAGCAATGACGACAACCACTCCAACTACTGCCCCTGCATATGTTCCGACCTGGCTTTCGGATGTTCCTGGCAAAGCCTCCGTTTCTACCAATAGTTATAAAGATATATACATAAAACGCGCAGGGGGAAAATGTTCACTTCGTCTTAATCAACTATCAGCAATATTACATCTTGTCTTATATGATGAATAACCGATGTTTCAGCTAATGCAAAACAAATTCTGTCTTACCAATGCACTGTCCGTCTTGCATGCTACAGATGTTGTTTTTACAGTTGGTTGGGCACACTTGACTGCAGAAATTACCGTGAAATCCTGCATCACATTCTGTGAAATATAAGATGTAATGAAGGACACTTAGCTTATACTTGTCATAGTTCTAACTTTAAAAATAACACTGGACAAAAACAACTAAGTAATTACTAGCCAGAAACAAAAGGATGATGTGTTAAAAATACTACATTAAAAGACGGACCTTGTCTCAACTGCATTATGAGGGTCTGAATGAATCGCAGAACTTAATATAAGCAATAACGTATACTCCCACAAGGTCATCTAAGCGTCACGATAAAACACAAGTTTCATATACAAATTAATTATTTATTATTTACCTTTGTGTATTAGCAACAGTAAACTTGCTGGAATTAAGTATGTCTCAGGACGTGCGACTCGGTCATTGTTTTATATTGTCTTAGTGTTATTGTCTTAAATGTACCTGAACACTGTCCATTGCTTATGTTGCACATTCTGTTAAAACAGTTCTCCGAACAGGACTGATTACAAAAACTCTGATGATATCCGGGGTCACATTCTGCAAAAACAAAAACAATATAACACGTACCATTTAATCACTCACTTGAGTTAAGCTATATTAATACAAACTGTATTTATTACAAATCCAGTGTTTTAGATAGTTAGATGATATCTTACTAATCAAAACAAATACAATAACAAGTCTTAGCAAAGGCAACCAATGACATACATGATCGAATTTCGATAAAACAAATCGCCCGGTATAACTGAGGAATTTATCTTAAGGAAATAAGACGCGGCCACTGCCATCTTGAATTTACAAACATCCCCAACAATACCAACAAGAAATCATGAAAATATGAAATAGTTTCTATCCTAAATGCTTCTTAATATTGCCTAAATCCATCTTAAGATGGGGTCATCTCCTTTCTGATAACAGATCGTTTTAGTATGTTGTTTGTAAATAAGGCGTCATATATCTTCAATTGCATATTCATTTGTTTGCTTGAATGTAAATTGTTGTAAAGATAGTTAGAAAAATATTTTAACCCCATCCTCAATATGAGCGACTCAAAGCAATAGCGTAATATATATTTGGCGGATAAATCCGGTTTAATCCACAGACCTGTGCATTCCCCGCTCAGTTGTCCACATGTGTCATTCTTACAATTAGACGGGCAGGTCTTATTACAAGTATCTCCATAGTTTCCAGGTGAACAATCTACAACATAACATATTGTATTTATACAAAGAAATAGCTATGATCACACACGGTGCATGTAATATTGGACATTTTTTGTAGGATTTTTGCTTTAGAAACATTCTAACATACCAATACACTTTGAATCATGACTAAACACAATGATTTTACATAATATGCTATACTGATCTTATGCCAATCAGCCATTTTCATTTTTATTTCATGAAAAACAAATCATCAGCGGAAACAAAACACTTCTCTGAAGTTCCAATTGATTTGTCGATCGATACTTCAGCCCATTTTATTTGACGATAGAACTGATTGTTTTGACGTTCTAATTGCGTTGTTACTATCATTTTGTTAAGATTACTGAATAAAGAGACTGTCTTTAATGGGGCATCCGGAAAGTAAATGACGACTGTAGCTCAGTAGCGATAATTATGTGTGTTATATAATTCTGTCAATAGGAAACATATATCGTGACGAACAAGATCGGTATAATCGGCCATACGAGTGAGCTATAAATGGTATTCGAAGGGAAACCATAAGATTTCAATTCATTTTAATCATTGCACAAATATTGCTACATTGAAAAAGTACGTGATTTAGCAGCTAAATACTTAACGCCAGGTTCCAATGACATTACGTTTGATACAAAGGTAGAGCTTAGGTTTTAATTGGTAACTAAATGAAAGTCTGCCGCTTGCTGATATTTTCTGGTAAGATTTCCAAATAAAAACGATATCAATAGTGAATCAAATAGTGTATGTAGCAACAATGTACCGAAACAATCACATATTCTGCCATAGTTTCATCTAACCTTAAAAATGAAAATTTACGGAGTGAATTGAAAGAACCGATTGATTGGACAATACTTAAATAATATTCTTCTTAGCTTGCTAATAAACAAAAATCACGAGCATAGCCCTCCTATTTTTGGAGATACATTCTTTTAAATACTTTTACATATTTGACCCCTGTGACATTTAAAGAAAATCAACGACATTCATTTGAGAAAACAAGAGGCCCATAGGCCTTAACGGTCCCACGAGTTATGTAAAAAATGATGTTATCGATGTTGTCAAATGAAAAAAAAAAAATTGTAACAAAGGTAACCTGAACAACATGTAATGCAAAAGTAGTGTGAAAGATCTGGGTAGTATATGTACTATGTACAAATAGTGGTTCTGTCAGTTAGATGGTAAAGCACCTTAAGGCCCTTCCATCTATCAAGAGTATTTGATTCTACCATATTTGGATCTTGAAAAAAGGACTTTTGAAATTTTAGTCAATTTGACCCTTTTTGGCTCCGCCCCTCAGGCTCCTGGGGGCTGGGGACCATATCATTCATAATTATACTATAGTAAAGTTTACCCCCTCCCCAGGGGGAAACGTGAGACCCCAGGGTCATGGAATTCACAATTTTGTTAAAGCACCTTAAGACCCTTCCATCTATGAAGAGTATTCGAGTCTACCATATCTCGGTGTTGTGAAGAAGATTTTTGAAATTTCAGTCAATTCGACCCTTTTTGGCCCCAATCATCAGCCCCTGGGGGTCAGTCAGGGGTGATTTGTGCATACCATCAAACTGTTATCCAATACTGATAATGCTAACCAAGTTTGAATTACTTCCAATCGAAATTAAACAAATGTTGGTTCAAAATGTGATTTCCTTTTTACATACTGATTAATCATTCATATTTGAATAACTGCTTAATATGGAGGTTTTAGCAATCAATGTCTTCATTTTTTATTGGAAATTATATAAGTTTGCTAATAATTAACGTGTATTATGTTGGAATAAATAACGAGAAAATGTTGGGAAAGTAATTAACGAAGGCCGCTTGTAGCCCGAGTTGAATATTTTTCAACATTTTCTAACTTGAGTGATATATTCAGCCATACAATATAAACATAATGTTGATTTTATCTATTTTACCACGTGAAACGTTACGAAAGCCTTATTCGTGACTACGGCAGTGTCCATACGTCTTTGACAAGATAAAGGATCCAGACAATCTAATCACTTCCATAAGGCTGTTATCTTGCATGCGCTGACAATTGTCATGGAATGTCTATATGTCTTCAATTCACTACCAGCTGTGCGGTTTTATCATTCCTGACCTTGTTGGCAGTTGTCAATTTAACCTGGGTGTATTAGGAAATAAACACTGACGTCATGTTTTATGCAAGATGTTGCAATACCTTATCTGCGTGGTGTTTTCTAGTAATCACTAACGATCTGATAATTAATCTGGATAAATACATTTAAGGATTAAAAGTACGAAATCTGCACGTACCATGCAATTTGCTAGCCGACAACACATTACTGCTCGCAACGACCAAAACTTTTGGGGAAAATCAATTTGATGTTTTGTATGCTTATGCTAGCAAATGGAAACTTAACGATAACCATTCAAAAAGCTCGGTATTGTATTAGTTTAGAGACAACAGCTCTCCCTGGCAATTTGCAATACATTCGCGGGGATACACTTTGTTCATTGAACGATTTATGTCTGACTGGCACTTGACCAAATGGAGCAAGAAGCTGAATACGAGAAATTCTCTTCAGAGATACTCTCGTATTTTAACAACAAAAGGTCCTGTCCAGTTGCTACTTTGAGTTTAAAATTAGGACAATTCACATTGGACCCTGTTTATTTCCTGAAATTATAAAGTATTTGGGAAGATACTGAAGTTGTCTGTAAACTATGCGCAAGGAAATGTAATGATATTGTAACACATTTTATAATAGAATGCCCAGCACTTTATAAAAGTAGAGATGTCACTTTAGAGAAAACTGTTGACTGTATCAATAAGTGCTCATATGTTCACTTTTTGTTCATGGAAGGGACTGCTGTAGTCAATTTTCTTCTCGAAGATCGGACTTCAGTGACTTTACAGGATAACGAATTGGGGGAACTAATGTTGCCACAAATATCAAGCTGCTCTTGATAAAATATGAACTTTGCTATATGAATTTTCTCTTAATTTTCTCTTATTGTTGTAAATGTTGAAATTTGTTTAAATGATATAAAGAATGGCTGTCTATCTGTCTACTACTTACGGCCACAATGTCCTGACGTTTTGTCACATTTGTCAGTGCTACAGCCAACAGGACATGGTGTACACACTGGTCCGTAGAATCCATCCTTGCAGTCTGAAAAATAAGACAAAAAGAGGACCAAACAATCAGGTTTGAACAATGCAAAATCGGACATTTAAACCGACTCGAGCAGCAAATATCGTGTATTAAGATAATCTTTAACTCGACTATTACATTAAGCAGACGGAGCTTTGGAAATATTGAAATATACACAAGTCCTTCAACATTGTTAGCATTGTTTTAAATGTATTATTATGTTACACAGCACGATTCGGTGATGTATCATGCAGCTGGTATTACTGATTGTGTAAGAGTTCGACATTATAAGTTGTGTACATTGTTTGTTAAAATATACCGTGTAGTGTTGGAATCAACCTAAACTTGCTAACCTAGTGCACTGGTTTTAACAAGCAACATTAACTCCAGTGCACTAGTTTGTGTTCTTGTGTTTACTATCAAGTGAATTGGAGTTCAGCCTCTTGTTCATTGGAGTTCACGACCTTGTACAAGCTACATGTAACTGCGATACACAAAGTCACTCACTATATTATAATGCGTCTTATTTTAATCAGTACATACACTATAAATTGATTGTATGGTTTTTTTTTTTATTTCCCGTATGGTATGGATCATTGCCAGTTGCAGTATTCTACTATATTCATGACATATCTTGATATATTCAGACCCTTAGCTAATATATATAAAAACTTTTTTCTCCACAAAATGGGCGCGGGTTGGACCTGACCGGTAGATCTGTCAATAACAAGGAATTCACTATATATATGAAAAATGTAGATGTTTCGAAAGTGTCCAATATAATGATATGTTATAATTTGTACTAAACACATGTACATAAAAACAGGATGATTGTTATATTACATGACCAAGGAATGTCAAGAGATGTACTTTTGTTTTCAATTGTAATTGAATGTTAGTGAAATATTGAATGCGATTTATCTAACTTAACAGTATGATATATTTGTACCTGCATTTCTTTTTATGTTTAAGTAACAAATCAGAGATGATTAGCACGTATACTTATGCCGATGTCTCGTATTTAACATTGTGGGAACAATCACCTTGCAAGTGCATAATCATAATTTTAGTATTGCAACCATACAAAATAAAATATAATGCAAGGGATTCAAAACAAGATGTACTCCCAATATGGTACATATTGACATCAATGAATAGAGAGGGAACATCGGTGTTACGTGTGATTCACAGTAATTACGTTCAACTTGTAATGTTGACCATCTTGAATAAAGATGATTAGGAAATTGATTTATATCATATTCTCAAAATAATAGTATATAGTTACCTGTACACTGGCCAGATGAACAGATACTGTCTATACAGTTAGCTGGACATGTACAGAAATCGCCTACAAATCCAGTTACGCAGCCGTCTGTAATGTACGAGTGCAATGATCACAATCAAACTGAACCTTTACCTGTTCACATTGAAAAGACTGTTTGCCATTAATAATAACTAAACCATACGTTATTTTAATGCAGAAGACCCAAACACAACTGCAGTTCCTAAATTGATTGTATTATAACGTATTTCTACTCAGTGGAATCACAATGAGTCTGTCACACAAACCGAACATTTCCTAAAATAACTGTTTTAAAAACTTTAACCATATCTCTTTATATATACAGTTATGACCGTTATTTCCTCTACTCAATACCTAGAGGAATACACCCAACAAAACCATTTACATTAAATAATTCAAATATTTTTACAATTTATCGTCGATTTTTTTTTTTTTATGAATAGTCAATGTGTTAAGTTTAGTAACACTTCATACAACAATGAACTGAGTTAATTGCGAAATATCATCAGACTCTTTCATGACCATGAGTGTAGGATAGGGAAATTCCACCCGAGGGTTTACAAAATTTGTAAATCCCGAGGGTGGAATTTCCCTATCCTACACCCTTGGGCATGAAAGAGAATTTTTCTCTCATTCCAACTACCAGAATAAGCTTAGAAACTTTGACAATGCGTTTGGACTAGCTACCATTTTGAAAATATCAAGTTTTCCTCTGAGCTTTGTAGACGAAAACGAATCCGTAGCCAGATTAAGCATACCCCATATTAGCAAACATTGTTTGCGCAGAAAAATCCATCACATCTTTCTAACGTATACGGTAAATATATTGTAAAGGGTTTGAATTTCATCACATCGCCTTTCCGCATTGCCGCATCAGAGACTTCCAAATTCGTGAAGTCACGTCATTTGTTGAGCCATTGTGACGTCACATCACGTGAAATGGGGTGTGAGATAGATATTTCTTACACACCTTTCTTACCCTGGACAGCTCTATCTTACACACAGGGAAATGAGAGAAAAAGGTTTTCTATGTAACAAAAAATAAGAATTCGTTATGTATTTTGATAATGCACCTAATAAAAATGTTAGTGGCATATAATCACACGTGCAAAATGTGTTATCTATATGTTGAAGTTCACGAATTCTTTTCCTTGTCAACATTTTTGCAGTGTTTATTTTGAAAAGTACATTTGTATAATTTTGCCCCCAGTCACATAGACATACAAACATTTCCGTGAAATCTGTCCTAGATTTGTGTGACGTACACTAACACAGAAAACCCCGAAGCTGGATTATACAAGCAGACGTGGTATGTACAAGCAGACGTGGTATGCATCAATGGTGTGATTTTCATAATAAAAAATTGTCGTAAGTTTATATTTCTATTTATCTTTAAGTTCAGCATTTTAAAACATATGGATTATTATGATTTTATTCCAGTGAAACGGAAAAAAAGTAGAGAGGGAAGACAAACATGTTGCATCAAATACGGATACGTTGTTTTTACGTTCAATCCATGTCATCCATCCTACAATCCCTGAACAATCATCTGTGGTAAAGATTTTCAAAGAGACAAAGTAATATTGTTGTTTAGCCTTTCGGAAAAGGACCTGCATATGAAATGAACATATTACTTTAAATCTTCGATAATATTATAACGTTCATATATCCACCCCCCATCCTGATACAATGTACTAAACGGATTATGTTACATGTAAGCACCTGATCCTGTACATGTGCACTTACACACACCCTCTCCGAGATCAAGGAAGCGGGATTGATAAGATAGTGTTAACTAACAAGGAATTACAATCAAAATGCACAGAGTAATGTATGACATGTTAGTTATAAACATTATTATAAAAATTCCAGCAGGTTGAATTGATAATTTCTCTTTAAAAAAAACCAGTATTAATGTTTGATGACATGAATTTCCGGCTTACCTGTACACTGACCGTTGACCATGTTACAAACTTTGTTTTTACAATTAACAGAACAGGTCTGGTTACAGAAACTACCGTAGGATCCATCATCACATTCTGAAAAAAATATGAAGAATTATCAAATCTCATATAGACGATATTTATCACGAAACAATACATTTTTCTGAATAATAATTCCCCTATAGATTACGCTAAATCACGCTTCCCAGTTGACAATCATGAGACCCTGAATTGCTCAACTGTTAATCGTCTTTGATCTTCACAGTTAGTTAACGGACGTGTTTCTTACATAGCTAAATAACATCACTCTACACATAATGCCATTATGGAGGTATGTTGGAAGATCGTATTACTGTATCATTACGTAACAAAAATCGAAGCAAAGACTTGTCAACTTGACATTATCTGTAGCAATACTCCACTCATTTATCTAGGTTTGCATAACTTATTAGATTGATGTACTACCGATACAATCAAATACACATTAGAATCACAATGTGCAGTACTCACTCTTCATTCTTCGTCGTATAATAACAAATGCAAACACTCACGTGTCATAAATTAACATTTTATGCAACAACGATTTGTTTTTATTCAGTTCAGATCATCGATGTGGTACTGTATTGATCATGTGTCTGTGTGTGTGTGTTTTCGGAGGGGGGGGGGGGGGTAAACTGAAATCGGCTTGTCCGTCTGTCCATATTTTTGTCCGGCTATACATTCGCTCATATATCAATTATCTCCTGAAATTATTTTGCGTTACGGACCTTTTTAAGGGAGTATGCCCCTTTACGTGAACAATTCCACAAAACCTTGCCCAGTTATGCATTTGCTCAGTTTTCAATATATTTCTTTGGATTTGTTCGTGTAGTGGCAGTACCATATGTTGTTGTGTCTCCTGAAATATTTTGCGTATCGAACCTTTTTAAGACATTATGCCCCTTCAGGTTAGAAAAAGTTTGTCCGGCTATGCATTTTTTTTAAAAGATTTCTTTGACAATTTTTGTGTAGTGGCAGTCATATGCTGAGATGTCAACCCTACCCTTTTGGCCTAATCCTTATGATTTTAACATAAAAAATACGCCTTACAATTTTACCTATTCACTGAATGATTTCATTTCTGCTGATTCCTGATATTTCTGCGCGTTTCCGCATGGTTTTAATATAATATCCTGATCACAGTCTTCTCTGTGTTTTGAAGAAGCCTATCAACTGATCATACCTCCCCTTTCTTTAGCGGGAAAATGGTGGATAATATGTACTTGACGAGAGAGATAAAACTGAAAGTTCAAGTAGCACACCTCAAAAAATTAAAAGGCAATTGAATCAAATTAAACCATAATACAGAAAAAGACATTTCCACATCCATTATACAATTTACGTATATGCGAAGGATAAACTTGTCAGAAATTTGACCCCTGTATTATTAAGCAAAATCAAAGGCATTATTTTGAACAAATTGGAGAGCCCTTCATACCAGAATGATACTAGCAAAGTATCATGACCAATGACATGTCAGTTGTTCACAATATGTCGGTGTTTTTTTTTTATCATATTAGACCCCTTGAAAGTAGGTCTAGGACATTCATTCTGGTAGCGCTTTATACCATCATATCCCTAGCCAAAAGAGGCTAGCCTTGTACAAAAACGGTATTGGTGCGAATTCCTCTACTCCTTCTACTTCATGACCCTCCTGCGCGCTACCACAACTGTCGACCCATCAGGTGTGATTCATATATATCGAAAAAGACTAGTTCCATAATTAGTGGAAAATAGATAAAGTTTAAACTTAAGGAATTTATGAAATAACAGAGTACTAATTTCCAATTACCATATTCAGGTTTTAATTATAAAAGTCACTTCCTATTTGGAAGTTTATCAGTGTATTTTATTTATAACTTTAACGTATGTCCTTGTATAACCGCAATGGATTTTACAAAACAAATAATTTTCAATAGAATAAAATGTCAACTTGATTGAAGAACCCCTGTTGTTTTTTAAAAATATCATTAAACATGAATACTACTTACGACCACAATGTCCTGACGTTTTGTCACATGTGTCATTGCTACAGCCAATAGGACATGGTGTACAGAATGGTCCGTAGTATCCATCAGTACACTCTGAAATGATGTCATTTACAATTTGTTATAAACAAACAAAACAATAACAATAAATCATCTATGACTCCAGCAGCAAACATCACGTTGTTCAATAATATATAGCTCTTATTATTCATCAGCAAAAAGAAAAGGGATTGATACGTCCTTGTACGAAAGCAATCATAAAACTAAAACTAGGTAAAAGACAAATTAATTCAATATTTTCAGTCACTGTTGATACAGGAATCTTACAAATCGTTTTAAAAAGGATGGACCATACGCCTGATCGTACCTGTTTTCATTGGCGAATAATGAAACTTCCCCACTTAACAGCATTTATCAACAAGAAACCTTTGGCAGATTTGTGATTAACAACAACAGAAAGTTATATAATAAATGAGGTACTGATTTAGTTATCTTAAAATGAAGGCGGGCGATGCCAGATCATATATGAACCCATCCATTGATTGAGTGCTTATCGAAAACTGCTGTTGATTTGGAAAAAAACCGTCTTAATTGTAGCAATGTGCCAATCTACCAATGCAATTTACTAATGTAATCGTTTTGGTCCATCAATTAGTTCAGTCACTACCTATATGATTTTTACTTAATATCTTATTATCTCTTATACTGGCTGCATCAAATACATTAAGACAAGCCTGGATCAAATTCAGGTAAAGAAAAAACAAATATTTACATTTGTATGCTGGTTAAAAGAACAGGATTTATTCTCAGTTATGTTTACATAGACGTCTAATTGGAAACAGAGACTAAATTAGTTTAACATTGTGATTCACAGTTTTAGCACTTAACTTGTCATTTAAATGAGCATATTTACTCGATTCGAAAACTGTTCCTTATCATTTTCTCACAATGTTGTTACATGATTACCTGAACACTGGCCAGTAGAGCAGCTAGCGTCCTTGCAGTTTACTGGACATCTGCACCATGTGCCTGAAAATCCTGTTGTGCAGCCATCTGTTAAGTACAAGTTCAAATGAAACCTTACCAATATTGTATGTAATAAATGCACAATCAAACTTAACTTCTACTTGTCCAATAGATGAAAAGATCGTGAAGTGAATTATAACCAAAGACGAAGAAGAGCTCAAGGACAATCAGTTTTAAATTGTATTACAATTTAACAAACGTCTCTCTCTTTAAATGTCTATATCCTTGTCACATTAAAAAAAAAAAAAAATGGAATGCGTGTCTAAAGAAGACAGATTAGACATATCAAAAATGTATTTTCAAAGTTGCAATTTTTATAAGTAAACTTTCATGAAAACAAAACAAACAGAACAATCGTGTATAATACGAGATGAGCTTTGTATGTGACTTCTGACCAACAAACGCCAGTAAAAGAATACATGTAACATGATATAATCAGTAAAATGACAAGTTTGTGTTGAGGTAATAGTCAGAGTTATTGCCATCTGTTAACTGAATGAGACACTAACTAGTCATCATGTTTGGTGTTAAGAGAAACATGTAGCATTAATCAAATGCACTTTGTTGCTTAAATCAGACCTTTCGCGCTCGCGCTCTATGATTGTTGTGTAAACCAGGCCAGCCTGTGTACTAACAGGGAAGTTTCGTGCTACCCCACAATCGATCCTGAAAAAACGGGTCGTGATAAACATCTTTTTCTGTGTGTTTGTACTTAAACCAATCTCCTCGAAAATCAGAGAGGCACGATCAATTAGAAAATGTTAAATAACTAGGTATAGTAAGTTGCAATGCGTAGAAAGTGATATGTTACATGTGATTTATTATCCAAATTGCGTAAATAATTAATCAATTTGTTGAAATGGTTATTTATATAGCTTTTTAATTATACACGTTTTATACAAAGTTATTTTCTTGTGTAACGCAAATTTGATGATGTTCATTTTTTTTTAATTTTGACTTTCTCATTGATTGCAAGGTAAATAGTGTAAAAAAGAGAAAATCTGCTTACCTGTACACCGGCCGTTGCTCTTGTCACAAACACTGTTTTTGCAATTACCGGAGCAAGACTGATTACAGAAACTGCCATATGATCCAATAATGCATTCTGAGTAGAAGGGAAATATAAAATATGAACAATATTCAAATCACATATTTCATGTAGTTATTTATTGCAAAAGATGATAACACTATTTATTTGTAATCTTCCTATTAATTCCGATACTTAAGGTTCAACAAGCCCACTAAAAGATGTAAAAGTAACTCTAAATTGTAACCCCCTGGCAAGTCATATTCAAATACCCTTATCGAAAATTGGAATATATATATGTAATTTAAATATATTGAACTTGTACATGAGCTATTAAAATCGTACATAACCAGGTTAACGAAGTCAAAATACGGCATTAAGGCTGTTGTAATGATAAAAGTTACTCACCAGATTTATAACATGTCAATGCTCCGCATGACCTAGGTATATAAATAAAATTTAAATCATGGGTCATTTCTCAGCACTAAGTTGGATCGCAAAAGAGATTGACATGTTATAAGTCCAGTTATCTATTTTTATGAAGACATCAGCCTTAATGCCTTAATTTTGACTACGTTAACCTGGCTATGTATTTTTTGAATAACCAAGGTTCAAGTTTAAGTACAAATAACGATTTTTAATTGAGGTCTTTGAACATGAAATTTTAGGTGACTACAGCATCTTTTAGGGGGCTTGTTGAACCTTAACTGACAAAACATTGTCAAATTAGGCTTCTTAGCTCATCTGGTAACCATATAAGAAATTCACAGCGAAGCAATACAAATATATATAATAAACTGGCGAAATCTGTATACTGCGTAGCAGCTTCCGTCACACAACAGGAATTGCATCAGGACTTGTAGATCTGACGATAACTGATTCCCTCTTTACCCAAGACTCTTCATGAAATCGTACGTGGACACACTTTCAAATCTTACATGTCATGTCTGTTACTTTAGCAAGATCACCGTTATGGTATTCAATAGTATTACATTAAACATGAACAGGTACTTAATAAGTCAGTTAACATGAAAGAGAATCCTACTTCTCTTCATTATCTTAGTTTACTCATAAATGTATTACCTTGAAACCAATATATGGTCATTAACTCCACCAAATTTGGTAGCGCGTTATATAAGCAGAACACTGGCCAGTCATTCCACATGATCTTAGATCTCTTTATTATTGAGAGTAAGTTGCTGAACGGGTTTAATTAATTCAATCAATAAGGAGAAATGTAACGCTGCCGAAAGGACGTCGGACGGTCTGCGACGGACGTATACCAGACGCCATACCTTAGCGAAAATTCGTTGGCCCTTCAGATCAGTCGAGCTGACAGAGGTCGACTTTCGCCACAAATCATAGGCTTGTATTTAAACGATAGGATTAACAATGTAGTATTTTTACCTCGACTGCTAATATCAATGTCAATTTACTGTAGCACAAATAATGTTTCTAGGTCCGTGATATTATTAATACAAATATTATACATGTGGCATATTATTTCACATCAGTAATTTATTTTTAATGAGTTACATGTAAGTAAAAGAAAAATATATTCAGTATTAATAAAAACAAAACAAAAAACAACTAATTATGGCTAGTTTATATGAATCGGTTTCCATATCTCCTTTATGTGAATATCTATGAAGTATTTGAAGACACATCGGTCGGTAATTACCATGATCCACATGAAAAGTAGGTTAAAGAAATCCAAGTGATTAAATCAAGCAAATTAACAGAATACTGATTTTTGTTTCGTATATGCATAAACTACTTCATATTGAGGAAGGTTTTAATAATCAAAACCTTCATTTCTAATTGGAATGTACATCAGTTTGCTACATCTGAAACTACAGATATATTGGCATATGCTCTCTCTATAACGCTATGGATTTTACTAAACATGAAATTTGTACCTTAATTATATATAAATTTTAATGAAAGAATTCATGTGTTTCTTGCAAATATGATTTATCATAAAAAGTACTTACGAAAACAACTTCCTGACGATTGATCACATGTATTACTGCTACTACTGCTACATCCCAAAGGACATTGCGTACAGGCTGCACCGTAGAATCCATTACTGCAGTCTAGACATATGATCATACATTTTATGTTATAGCTGAAGACTGAACTGTATAATCTAACATTGAATATTTACAACGACTCCAGTAGCTATCATCACGTTGCGCAGTAATATTTGACTCTTATAAAACATCAAGAATTGGCAATTAAATGTTGTTGTTTAACAGGTTTTTTTTTCTCAATTGTAACCCAATATTCAGTCCGATGTTTAATGTAATTTGTCCTTACTTCATACATTGAATTATTTTCTGTTACGATAAGTTTGATATTTTCCACTGATTCGACTATAAGACAAGTGTGTGCGGTAAACCATCTAAGCCGTCGTGAAAAAAAAAGATAAAAAGATGTTTCGGCGTTTCCTAACCCAACCTCAACCAACTCTACATTGTACCCTGTGTAACTAGCCTAGATAATATTGATCAGCAAAGAAAGATAAAATATATTTTTCATCAGAAATCAGCTACTCGCACCTCTTCCAATCAAAGTTCTCGAACTGCGTAAGTTCTGGTTTTTGTCATACTCAGGACAGGATTGTCTTTATCTGTTTTATCTCCCCATTTCGGTATAAAACAGTCTCTGAGACAAGCTTTGAAGTCTCTACATTTGTTTCACAACTTTGCTTCAAGCTTGGGCGATGTTGCTGTTTTTGTTGCCGATGGGTTAATAACACATTGTTTAGTTAAGAAATTAAGGGTACACATCTATTTAATTGAATATACACAAGAATAATTCATTCAAAACCTGCTTATGGAAAAAGGTGTCAGTTATGTAATGCTTCTTCACGAATTGAAATGAATTATCTCAGCTAAAATGACAATTACGAACAATTTGAGAAGGGGTGGTTCTGTTTCGGTAAAAACAGGGAAAACGCTGTTATTTGATTTATTTCGTCGATTTATTGAGAATATATCTTTCAGTAAGTTTTTGCTCTCTATAATAATTTCATAAGCTTAAAAAAATGCTAGGATAAAGTAGAAATAAAATAATACTATGGCGGAAAAATATTCCTGACATAAACCAAATCGCAAACATTTGGGTCAAATGAAAAAATGATAAGAGCATGTCGACAAATAGGGTGGACTTCTCGAATGCTTTATACAGCAATTGGTACTCAGTAGAAAATAGTTTTACAAATTACCATAACACATCTAGCAGAACTTTGACAGTGACGAAAACTGAGGAATTTTATGCAAAATATTACACTCTAAATGGTCAAAGGCCTCCATGTCTTGATGAAATTCCATACTATTCGAAGGAATTCAATATTTTTGTTACTGCTGATATATCTGCTTATAAAATTGCCATTGATTTCTAAACCAAGCGGTGTGCCACTAATTCCTAATCAGCGCGGTATATTGAACAACAATGTTGAAGACACAAATGGCCTGCAAATAACCTAACTAAGAGCTAGAAAGCCCTTGATAATGTAATGCCAAATTGCCAAATCTCATTTGTTAGTTCGCACTGTATGTGAGATTGCAATGCTTTCTGTCCTGCGCTAGCCAGTGATTCTGCAAATGACAAGATTTGTTGTGCAGAAAAGATGTCGGCGATAAGCACACAGAATAATATCCTTCAACAGAAGGATACTCATTCAACGCCTGGACAAGAAAAGAGCTGTGTTCGAGAAAATGGAGGAATCAAGTATTCTTTGGTTTTTCAAAACTTTCATGAACAGAACTCGGATATCTCATATTTGGCGTGCACCAGTGGAAACGAGTAAAGGCTAATGAGACAGGACATTTTATCAGAGGAAGGTCTATATAAATTGATGGTGAAGAAGGAGCAATCTGGACTGATAGAAGTACAAGTCAAGTCTCGACATATACATGATTTTAAGTGTACAATCTTTTGAATGAGGTGTAATTACTAGCTGGTATTGTCAATCATTAGACATTAGTTGTGTAGTTTCTTTCGTATGAGCGTCACCAAGAAAAACAGAGCAAACAGATGCTGAGTAAATTCATTCACTGTGTATATGTTAAAATCAAATAGGATGATTGGTCGCAGTCTGATTAACCGTAACCTACTCAGCAAAAATGCGTTGTATCTAAAAAGAAAATACAAGAAAAATATATCATAAAAAACTCATAAAACATATAAATAAACTAAAGACACAAGCATAAATGCACTGAAACATTACTAAAACGAAAAATAAATAATGAAATGTCTCGATGCTAGTTAACATGATTATCCGACATATTGTCACCTTTAAATGACCTCTTGTCCCCGATTATTTAGTCATAATCTTTTTAATACATTCCTTACGACTATTAAGCACACATTTTTATTCAAGATTGTTGTAGTATCAATTATGTGTTGAATCAGGAAATTAAAAATATTTAAGTAATTGAAATGAAAATATAATAACTATCAATTTTATTGGAAATGATTCACTACGATATTCTTTTTCATCGGTGTTTCTTCAATTTAAGTCAGGGGCAAAGTAATTCTTCCTACAGAACTATTTATCTATACACACAAAAAAAAAAGTTGATGGCCTTAAATTCTTTGGGCTTTATGTATAAAAAAAAGTATGAGTGGCCATTTGCATTTCATTGATATGGACTCATTTCTACTTAAGCAGAATGGGGAAACATGGCCTTCAAATATATTCTATTTTTATAACATAAGAACTATATGCTTCTACTTGATGTATCAAAACATAAAAGAGTTTAAGGAAGTTGGAAAAGTTTACCGACGGCCCGCTGCAAAAAAAACATGGTGGTTTTATATGTACGTTTTATATGCCCATTACCCGCTTTGCTTCCCGAAGTATTGTATCTTTATATTTATGCTTCGTTGTTTATGTCTACATAAAATTCTTTTGTAACTGTAGAAAGTGTCACTGTACTAAGGTGTCATTGTAGCAATGTATCACTGTAGAAAACATCCAAAGATCCAGCCTAACAGACTTCTAATGTATATTGCATGATAATATGGAAATTAAAGGAATTAAATTATATAGTATCATTCAGTTAAATTGAGAACTGTTTCTGTGATCTAGTGTAGAGAGAAAACATACCGTACGTGACTAGCTTAAACTAAGGGAATGCATAATAAGTAAGCGCTATATAGCTCAGTAAATCACACACGGATAATTGGGGTTATCGCACTTTTCCGAGCTTTCAAAGTAAATGACCT